GACAAGCTTTCAGAATGGGACAAGCTTTCAGAATGGGAGAAGATTTTTGAAGATTGTGATTCCAACAAAGGTCTGATAACTAGAATCTACAGAGAGCTCAAATCAATCAATAAGAAAAGAACAAATAACCTCATTTCTTTGTGGGCAAGAGACTTGAATAGAAACTTCTCTGAAGATGACAAGCAAATGGCCAGCAAACACAAAACAATGCTCATCACCTTTAATCTTCAGAGAAATGCAAATCAGAACCACAGTGTTAATCTAGCAATTGCTTTCTGACATAACAGGTTAAATCAAAATTTGTTAAATACTAGTAAGTATGTATACTTACCTGGCAAGGTGTTACCATGATCACGAAGGTGGTTTTCCCAGGGCGAGGCTTATGTATTGCGCTCTGGATGTGATGACCCCTGCAATTTCCCCAAATGTGGGGAACTTGCCTGCATAATTTGTGGTAGTGTGGGGACTGCGTTCATGCTTTACCCTGAAAAAAAAATACTAGTAAGTATATCAAGTTTGTATTAATTAAGGGAAATAAAATATGTATGGATAAGATATCTTGTGTTACAAATAAATTTATGATCTGTTGTTGGTGTGAGATTTATTAATATCTTGTTTCATATCTGTGGTTGAGCAGGACTACAATATGTTTCAGGAATATAAATAAGTTGCTCTAAATATGAATGTATAAATAAAGTTTTAAAAAGTAGAATAAAACTTGTATACTGCCAATTTTAATTCTATTGATTTGTCCGTTTATTTCTATTATATAGGCTTTAGAAAAAAATCAAAATGATCTTAATAGCATAAGTTCTAAAGAGAAAGAAAAGAATAAACATAAATAACATATATCCAGCTGAAATGATGGAAAACATGAACAGATTGTCCAATGAACTAATGAATATCTGTTTTGTAACAAATGCATTAAATGTATATATAGTTCTCTATTTTTTTGTTGTGGAATTGGAGACCATTCTCCCAAGTAAGTTATCTCAGAAATGGAAAAGCAATACCACATGCACTCAAGACAAAATTGGAACTAGTTGATCAACACATACATGTGCGAAGCAAAACTCAACAGAGTTCAAGCAAGTGAGAGGGGGATGCAGGAAAGGAAAAATTCAGATGTAAATGGAACATCGCACACTCTCTGGGTAAAGAGTACACTTAGCACTTTTACTTAAAATATACAAAGGTAAACTATGTAACCAAAATGTGCATATGCCTGTAATATACTGAAAATTTTAAAAGTACATGAAAATCTGTTATATTTTTGTTTCTTTCATATAATTATCTATTATAAATATATACTATATGAATATATGTATATATATATACACAATTTACATCACTCATTCCATAATTATTGCTATATCTGCTTACCATATAAAATGTAAATGTTCTTCATTTCAAATCTTTTACCTTTGTCTAATAATTTTCCTTAAATTTCACTACTGCTTTTAATGGCAATTGATACCTATATAAGAAAATAACCAAATATATCTTCTAACTAAAAGTGAAATATTTTGATGTATTATCAAGGAGCATATAAGTAGAAGATTCTTCGCATTTTCAAATGGGATAAGCAAAGAAAAATCACACACATATATTTTAGATGTTAACAATTATATTGGAAAATAATTAAAAAATTAAGCAACATCTTTAATGTATAAACTCATATAGCTAGATATAAACATTACATGAAAAAGAACATTAACTTGTTTAACAATTATCTGAACATGCCAGTCTTCCAATTTTTATCCTTTTTTTTAAAGACAGGATAATTAACATGGTAATGCATCAGTGTCATTTACAAAATTAATGCATTTCTCAAGTTTCTAACACATTACCCATCATTATTATTTGTAAAAGATTTACTAGATTCTTTTTATTACTAATTTTGCATCCCTAGTCATTTACAGTTAAATATTCATAATCATTTTACATAATTAATAATTATGAATCATTAAACAATTCCATGTAAAATACCACTAAAATTTAATATGTTAACAATTTTGGATAGCATATTTTAAGAAGAGAGTGACAATTTAGAAGTAATATCATCCTAAGAAGAATGGGGGAATCCAAAGAAAATCTGATATTTCAGGACATTAAAAACTACCATAATTAATTTCTCACTCTCTTGACTAAATAGTTCATTTACTACATGGATTTACAGATGATTGACACCTTTATTGATTAATTTGTTGTTTGTCAACACACATACCTCTGTAAGCATTTGTTTTGGTTAGTCTAAATTACTAACTGAAAAACAGCTGTAGGATAGAAAGTTTAAACCAAAATCAATATTGAGTTGTTTGTCACTGATAAATATCACCTTGCTGACCCCCTCTACTCTGAATGAGGTTTTCTTTCTTTTTTTGTCCCCTTGCTTGACAAGTACAGCATAGTGGTTATGGATACTCACTGTCAAATACTCTTTGGCTGCTAAAGGTCAATAGAAAAATGAGGATAGTCAAAGAGACGCCACTAGCTCATGTGCCAAACTAACAAGAATCCAGATTTAGGTTATGTTTATGTGGCTTTTATCTAATAAGGAAGGCCAAGCAGAATGATAAATGCTTTTCAATGTTCTGTGCAGAAATGGGTTTACAAACAAGCACCTGCCATAAATCATAACAACAGTTTGTCAAAAGTAACTAGAGGCTAGATGCATCTTTATAATTACTCGAGACATTTTGTGTCCTGCTTTCATATCTTCCACTCTGTTCTTAGAGCAAATATTTTTTGCTGCTTTAGGCCTAAATTATTTTCTCTCCACTTAAAATGTGAGTTGATGGCCAGAATGCTTTCAGGATAACTCCTTGACCCTTGCACTAGTGTTCCTACAAATATCACGGTGTAATGGGTAGATGCCCAATAATAAAACACCACAGATGAATCTACCACCTTCACTCCAATTTTTCAGCTTTTTCTTCTTCACCACATATCAGTTTTTCCAGTAACATAGCATTTGGTCTTTCCTCATGTGTGTAGTAAGGTAGTGACTTTTAGCTTGAAAAGAGAGCGCTTCAAAGAAGGTAATATCTTTTTCAAAATAATGGTGAACATGTTTTATCAGGAAGTTTTAACTATGTTATGCAATTAATGGAAGAACAGAGCAAATGAATGCTTAGTAATAGATTGGCACTGGAAGGGCAAAATGGTTTTTGAAATACATATATATTATATATATATATATAATTCTGAAAAGTATTATATCAAATCATAGTTCGTTCTCACCCTGAAGTCTTATTAACCATGGAGAAATGCTCAATTCATAAAAAAAAAAAAATTACTGCAGAAAGAATAAAAGGTTAAAGAGGACAACAGCTTGAACATAAAAGCAGATTGAATTTGACTTTCTTTTAAATTGTATTTGTGTTTCTTCCTGTGGCTACAATACTTAATTGATACACAATTGCTCTAATAGTGTTCCTTCATATTGGTTTACAAAAGAGCTTTGCTGTAATCATAGAATAGAAAGCATGGAGCTACACAATAAATGTCTCTGCATTTGGGTCAACCCATTTAATTTCCCTTTCAAATCCAATTGTTCACCTGCTGTGCTTATTAAATACAGGCATACTGTCTGTATTTGAATGCACTGTCTGTGTCATTTTGGCTCTGTCTACCTACTGTCTTTGCCATTTCTAATGAGAGCTGCCTCTGTCAGAGCATAGCCTCAGAATTTAAATTAAGTATACTTTTCCACACACATTTTTTTCAGTTATTTAAATTACCATATAACTAATTTATAATCATGATATCGCTGCTGGCTAATCAACCTATTATTTTCGTAATAGCTTGAGGAACAACGTACACTGCCAAAGGGAACATTTTAAATTAGTCAAGTTAGTAAGTTATGTGAATTGCTTAGTAAATTATGAATAATTAGGTGTGCTTTTAGATTTCAATACAACTAATTTTGGGATACTCAGATTTGCATGAATAGATTAATGACATTAATTAACATATATAAAAATAGAACTAGCTATCTTTGTCTATATCAATATTTTTACAATGACTTATGTGACTGGCCTTTATTCAATTATTTAATAACAAAATTCTAGTATTTTCATACATAAATGAAAATGGCCAGATATGCTTGTTATGGAAAAGTGAAGAATTGACCATGCAGAATTTTAATAGCGTGTGCTATTATGTAAGTGAAAAAAACATATCTTTACATCACCTAGATATTTCAGATTCATACATGTGCCAAATAATGTATGTAAACACTAGAAATCCCATTAACATAGAAAAATAAACAGTAGTAGGAACAAATTACTAAATTAATGAATTATAGAATCTTTCAATTTGAAAATTCTAAAGAGTGATATCTTAAACAGGAAAACAATGGAAGTCAGGACTTTTTAATTTGACTCATTAAAATATATTATTTAAAAATGTAGAAATCAAACTTAATTCTTTTAAACAACATATTTACATAATAATTTGGCTTTTTACAGAAGTTCTTTTATGACAACTATTATTCAATAACTAATGTAAATAACACAGATTTATAGTAAATATATGATATTTACATGACATAATATCAAAATATTAACGCAACTGTCTTTGCAGTATGCATTACATAATATTAAACAATGTACTGTACACTCTCTCACACACACATATACATACATATAGCAGAGGGTGCCAGAAAAATTTTAACACATTTTAAAAAAGGAAAATCAGAATTAAAATCGTAATACTTGAGTCATGTTTGATTTCTGCTATTACAAAGAAATACAAAATACAATTATTTCAATTTTAATATATGATTTTAATAATAAAACCATATAAGTTAGATGTGAAACTCAGTGGATGGTTTCAATAACATATTAGTCACAGTTTATAGGAAAACTGGTAATCTACATAATGATAGAAGATGATGCCCAGAGAGAAAAAGTGTGGATAATATAGACAGAACAAAGAAGTCTTTTGCAATATGATGAAACATTAAAATATATTTATTTAGTTTTCTGGAAGAAAGGGGAAAAGGGAAGATAATATTTAGAAAATATG